AAGCAAAGCCCTCCTATTTCATGATCCAAGAGGACAGGCAGTCACAGATACTGCTTGATAATTTGTATTCAGACCTCTTCCCTATTAATGAATTGCAGGAAAACTTTGAAATCAAATTAATTAATTGCTTTCTAATGCCAGCCCATGTAAAGCTGAAAGATAGGTGGCAGTCTGTTTAATGTTGGTCACCTTTGGACAACGTGTGTGCACAAATGTGCCTGGCATGCAGCTATCTTCCAGAATTCTCTGGCCTGCCTTCCCGAATTCTCTGGCTCACAGCCGCCGCTGATTCTCTCAGTCATTGAGGCAGAGGAGAGGGATGGGAGAAGGCTGGTGGCTGGAGGAATTGTTCTGCCGACCTGCCATTCCCTTCGTGTGTGACTGGCGGCACATCCGCCTGGTGACCCCATGCAAGTGTCCCTTGTCATATGACGGACACATGCCCAGCCCTGAAACAGGAGCCTGCATTCTCCTCGGGTCACGGACAGGGAGCTGCGTGCGTGCCCTGCCACGTGAGTGGAAACACACTTATTTCATTGCCAGTTTATAATTGTTCTCTGTCATTTGAATGGCACGGACTCGTCAGGTGACGAGGTGACTAACTTTGGTAATGTGATGGACAACAGTTTGGTTATCTACAGAAGGAGGGGAGAAAGGAAGACCCAGGGCACAGTCTCCGAGTGCCTCTGTGAGAGTCTGTCTGGCCCACCCTGACACAAAAATGAGGTAGTTCTGTCCTAAGCATGTTTGTTTATGAAGTGCAACTTATGATCACGATATTGAACGCTGTAAACAACAGAAGTGCCGAGATTTGTTACAATTAGCACTCTTTAATGCAGCACTTGCTTTGGGCTAAAAATTTACAATGTTCTTGAAAAAGCACATCTGCATAGTTTCAGCCTTCATTAAAGAAAATAGCCCCGAAGACTTAAAACAGTGAAAAACTCGCAGTGTTGTCTGTTTATGATCAGTGAAGCAAGGAGAACCACAAAATGTTTTAACAGTGAAAGGCAAAATAAATTTTTCCTTTTATAAGGAAAAAAAGTTATGTAGATGAAAATGAAATTAAAATGACCTTTTAGCTTTTGACTCTTGTATGAACTGGCAATTAAGCTTTGAACTGTATGAGCTGGTTGAAGTGGACAGAGCTAGACTGTAGCATGACTTCCCTTTTCTGTCAGTTTGTAAACCTGTATTGACAAAGCAATTTGTGAGTGAATCGTATCAATCTGATCTCTTAGTTCAGTAGCTATTGTTCATTTCTGGAGGCAAATAATTTATCTGGGCTGTAGTTTAGACAAGTTAAAATCGTAAGCTTTAAGAAACAGAGCAACAAATATGGGTATTCAGGCTATCAGGCAGTCTAACGCACAAGCTTAAGAAAAGTTAAGATGTGTTGTGTAGGTTTCCAAAGTTTATTTCCTCTTTGAAATGTTAGTGTTTTCAGTGGAAACAGCTGAGTCTCTGCAATGTGTGGTACTAAACAGCTGCTCGCTTTGTTAGGAGCAAACAGTTTATGGAAATGGATAATTTGTTTGGTTTGTTGTGTGGTAACTGATTAGAGAACATGCTTTTAAATAAAAAAGTCTCTTCAAAGAGGTTTTATTTTTGGAGTTTATCTTTTATTCCTTTTTAAATTCCTCAATGGACCAACTGCTACTGAAGCATGAAAGAAACCCATCTACACTCAAGTGCTTGAGACTAGTAGTTTACACTTTCTTTGTAGCGTTAAACTAGCAGAGGAGAGACCAAGTTTTGGATCATCCTGGAAAAGGAAGAACAAGTAAGTGACTAGAATAGTGGTGAGAAATTGGTCAGTTGTGCTGCTTCTGTTTGAAGTTCACTGTACGAGACTTGGATCTGTCATACTGAAGTCCTGAGCTCTGTTCTTACTCCAAGGTAACTCACTTTGTGGAATGTCAGAGAAATTGTGTGAACATTCCCTTATGCTAAGCCAGTGATGAAGCTTTCTCTGATAGCAGGGACTGCTCCTTCCATACTTTTCCACTGTGTGGAAGTACAGGTAGTGAAGAGATAATCTTAACTCAGGTAACTTCTTCTTGCTTCTTGTGTGGAGGAGCTTAGGATAAGTTACTCATGTGCACCTGGCACATCCTGAATGGATTTACAATGCTAGATCAGAACATGGCTTGAGCAAGATACTAACATTCTGTGTATTGGTGAATAGGTAAGAAAATTCTATGATACAGTAAAGCATAATTTTCAAGTAAACTGCTTCTTTAGCATCCTGTTAAAGTTCATGTGTACATCAGGTCTGTCTTATTTTGGGGTTGTGATGAATTAAGCTGTATGGTTTCTCTGGACATATGGAAGTAATAGTTTTCTGTGATGAGTACAGTGCATTCTGATTGTGGATACCTAAACTTGGAGAACTTGGTTTACAATCTCATGGGAGAGGGAAGCCATCCCAGGGATGTCTTCTCTGTAACTGCTGCTGTTTAGAAACAGCGAACTTGTCAGGATGTTGTGCCTGCTTGCTCTCTTTCTGTCACTCTCCTTCCCCACCCTCTCCTCCAACTCATTACCTATGTATACTGAGAATAAATGGAGCATCTACCTCTGACCTGTTCCTCCATGGTTGAAAATTCTGCATTATTTCTGCTTTTGAAGTCCAAGCTTTTCCAGAAAATAACAGATTCTGTCAGCAATGTAGTTAGTCCTCAAATTTCTATATCTACAGTGTATATTTTAAGCCAGAAGTGGTAATTTTTGTTTATGATAATCAAGTTGGCTTTCTCTTCCGTACATACTACTTAACTGTGTTATCTCAATATTTCTATTTGAAAAAAAGCTTTGATAGTCAGTCAGAACCTGAAAAGGCAGAGTCCTCAGCTGGGTTTTGAACTTTTCCAAGACGCAAAGACCACCACTGAGTTTGAATGAAGACTTCTGAAGCAAAATTCTGTGATTAATTAGTGTCCAAAGATCACTGTGTGAGCATTGCTCCTTCTTTATAAACATAACTAATTCCTCTAAGCTTTTACATATTGCTGCCTAGGTAGAACTTTGAAGCTCCTATCTAATTTTTGAAATAAATATGTAAAAGTAGGAAGGAACAAATATTTAATCAGCCTGTCCCTCCCAGAGTGAAAGGTTGGTCTGTACTGGAAAATCCAGTTGGGTTTCATGGAGTGAAAAAGTGTTAATGGTTTTGTGTTTTGCCGTCAATAGTAAGCATATTGTGTTTTTTTTGACATAGAGTTTTGTTGTCTTTGGATTGTGTGGGTCCTTATATGCCTACTTGATTGGAAATTCCAATCGTTGGGATTTATGAAGATGTATAAATTTTCTATGGGTTAGGACAAAATGTTTCTAGGGATGCTTGGTGTATGGCATAGAGGCTGTTGGGGGTGTGTCTGGAAGATTCATTAATACACATGTTAAGTGCCTTTCCTTCTGTCCTTTTAAAGAAGGAATGCCATAGAACTGAGTGCAGGTCCCTCCGCTTCAGGACTGCTTTGGAAAATGTAATTGGGAAACTCCTCTGTCTTATGGGGAGATGGAACAATATAATTCTTCAGAATTCTAAAATGCTTTTGAAAAAATGAAGATTTTTGCCACATTTTGAAGACAGCAATCTAATCATCTAAATAATAATCTGGTAAATTATTTATAAAGAATGACATCTTTGAAATAGTTATGCTAGTGTTCTCAAAGAGTAACTTTTGACTTGTGTTCTTGTTGACTGTAATATCAAGTGGGATAAGTTTCTGTTGAACTTATGTTTTATAAAGAAAAAAGCAGGCAATTAAGGTTTTTCAGTTAGGCAATCTGCAGTAAGTATTCATTTAATGTTGTTTTCGAATACAAACTTTTGCATTCAAGTACTTAATTGCCTGGTTTGTATTTCTTGATGAAAATGGAATGTCTCATCTGATTTGAAAAGTTCCAGGATTAAAATAGTACTATACATATCTATTTGTCTCTATACAGATTGCACCAAAATAAATATTTGTATGTGTGTATGGGGGAGTGGGCAGGCTCAGTGTGGGTGTGTGTGTTCCTCACATATGCTTTCCCTTGTTCAACAAACAGTTATTATCCATACAACTGAGAAATTTAACAAGCAGGAATTTTTGGTCATGTTTCTACTTACCAGTTTTCAGGGTAATCGTATGTTGATTGGTAACTACAAGAAACTTTTACAGTTAGTTTTCACAATTGTTTTTGTTAAAAAAAAAAAACCCAAACAAACTACTGGAAGAGTTACGCTCCCCTGAATTCTCAGTCATTGCATTGTTTTTATCCTATGGAATGAATATTTACTCTATTGCAAAGAACCATGGTATCTTTCATAGAATGCTTTGATTTGGCATGACTACATAGATGTATCTTCTATATAAGAATTAAAAATCACAGTGCAGGTTAGAGCCTCAGTTTGTGATTCTACACGTGCAGATATGCTTAACTTCAAGTGTATGTTTGAGCTTGACTCCTTTGATATGGTTGTTGTGCCTACCTAATTGTTTGCAGGATTAAGGTTTTGGATATGAATTTTTAGTCAGGTAGGGAGTTCAGAGGCAATGTGAGAACGTTTGAAAATACTATAACCACTCAGTGACTTACATGAGTAGCTGGGTAGGTGTTACTGCTGAAATAATTAATTATTCAACCATTTCTGTAACTTGCACTTCTGAAATAACATGGCAGTAATACATGCATAAAGGCTATTTCCATGTTTTAGCTTTATCCCTTACTTTAGGTGATGGAAAGTACTTGTTATAGTACTGCAATTTCTTGGGACTTATGTGGCATAATTAAGTGAGCAAGAATCAAATGTCACCATAGGATTTGCTGTGCTAAGCATAAGTAGATCAGAGAACAAATGTATCCCACTTAGAATCTGAAATGTCTGTTAACTACACTGTGTGTAGGCTTGAAAATAATTTTCTTAGTTTTTTCACAGTAATATCGGGACAAACTCATTACAACAGTATTTATCTTTTTTTGAGGTGTATTTTCTTTTCTTCTTTATTTAGATGTTGACACATTTATTTCCCAAACACTAAAAGGAGAAAATCTATCCAAGAAAGCAAAAGAAAAAAGAGAAGTTCTTCTTAAGAAGATAAAAGAAGTTAAGGCAAGGTAAGTGAGCTTCGTGGCTTTAATATGCTGTAAAATCACTTAATAGTAACTTAAGTTTTTACAATCTTTTAATACCCATTAACAATATTAACAATTAAAAATCTGTCTAGGTCCTGATTTTTCTCAAATAATCTGCATGTGTTCAAGTCTTTGTATCTATCTCGAAGCTGCTACAATTTAGTAAGAAACGAGGACATAGGGATTTGTGACATTTGAATTTCTGTAATATTCTGAACCCTGCCTGGAAGCTGGTTGGGTACAGATTGCCTTCACCTCTACTTTGGTAAGATTCATTAAAATAGGAGAAATATAATGCATTGAGAATATGAATGAGCTTCCTGTTGCCATACTCAGCTGGCGTAAAATAGCATTAATTCAGTGCTGACTTCGCTTTACTGTATATTCTGTCATTTAGCTCTGTCTGTAATAGAAAATTGAAACATAACTGGAAACTATTTATAGATCATAAGTTTGTTTCAGCAGTGTTAAAATAGTGAAGTACAGTGACAGACCAAGCAGAGGGCTGTGGTTTGTTTGGGTTGTTTTGTTTTGCTTTTTTAATGTTGGGTATGATTTAAGACTCTGTTCTATTGTGTGTTAATTTCAGTCAAACAATTCAGCTAAAAAAGATTTGGCTGTAGTGTTATTTGCGCTACAAAATTTTCTTTGCAGAATGTTTTCTTACAACTAATCAACTAGGATATAATCTAGTACTTGCTGTCCTTTTCCCATTGTTGTTTCCAGAGTGTTTTTCTGCTGATCACTCCTGTGTGGTATCTCATAACCTTTCCTTTGATGGCATGTTCCTGCCTCTGTGGCAACTTGTTTACAATTTCAAAGACAGCACAATCATCTGGTGAGGGCAGCATTCTTTGTATCACACTAACTGTGGAAAGACATGAGAAGTGTCCCAAAAATCTTGTAATTGAAGATTTGTGTGCCTTTGATTCAGGCTGTAAATGCTTAGGAAACTGCTTTTCAATTTATTTATTTTTATTATTATTATTTTTTAAGGAGCCAGGATTTTCTTTCTTTTTTTTTTTTTTTTTTTTTTTTTGTGCCTTGTGGGTTATTAAGCTAACTGGGTCTGTACGGGTGACTTGCAGATACAACACCTACTGACTTTTTTTTTTTTTTCCAGTCTTATGACTCAACTGTGTTTTTTCTGGATCATGAAATATCAAAGGAGGGAACCTGCAGTTATAAGCACAGCTGACACTGAAACCTGTGCTATTCATTTACATGACCCCATGATTTCACGTCTTATTTTAATTTCTAATTCCTTCTTCATCTCCTGTAATATTATTCACTGCTAACAGTGTTTTGCTTTTCATGCCAGCTACAAAATATATGCACACTGTAGTCATCTTTGATTTTCACATTGCACATATTGTGCGGTGCCTAACTATTACTGCTACTTGCTACGCAGGATTTCTTAGATCTGGCCTTTTATGTCTGTTTGTATTTCTCAGTTTCTTATCCCTAGACACTTCTTTTCTCTCCTGCTCGTTACTTGTAAGCATCTCCTTACTAACTAGTCTGATACACTGGTTATTGTCTATAAAGGTAGACTTGGCAGCTGCACTTTATTTGACAGTTACTTCTGGTGAGATTCTCTTCTTTTCATATAAACTCTAGTCCATGCATGCTTCTTGAGATGCCATTTTACATAACTCTGTCCTGATTATTTATCTCTATACATCAAACTTGTGTTTCTGAAATACCAAGATTTAGCTCAGAAGAAACTATTTTTTTTTTCCCCTGGGATGATAGAATTTTTTTTTTTTAGGCATTAAATAAGTTGAGATGTTCTTATTTTAATTATTATTATTTTTTTTTTTTACTTAGCCATGCATTAACTTTAGACTTTCTGGTTAATTATTAATACTTTTTCATTTGGTTTTCATAAATTATTGCAGCCAAACCCACTATTTGTGGATTTTTATTTTTTTGTTTCCTGCTGACCTACTGTGTTATTTTTAAAGTATGCTTAGTGGGTTTTACTTGTGCACAAAACTTTTTGAGATATATTAATATTTAGAAGGTTTACTGTAATTAAAGATGCTTTTGTATGTTTATACCTTAAGATAATCTGAGTAGATGTATATTCCTAAAAAATGCTGCTCTGTCCGAGTTTGGTTTTGTTCCAGGCTTCCTTGAAGTGACTGGGGATTCTCTCCTAACTACAAAGGCCAAAGAAAAACTGAGTAAATATTTTAGCCAAAAATAAAAACTTTACAGTTAATAAGGCAGACCTGCAGCGCCGTTTCAACTGCAAAACTTGTTGAAAACTAGTATTTGTTCTCTGTTACGTTTAGTACCGTGGATTTGCGTGCGTGGCTTTATGTTGTTTCTTCTTCTTCTTCCTTCTGCAGCTATCCTCAGGAATTCCAGGAAAAAGGTAAATCCCGTGCTTTTTTTTTTTTTTTTTCGCCCCCCTCCCCTGCGCTGTCCGCCCGTGGGCGTGCTCCGGGTGGGCGCGGGGGCCGGGCCGAGGCCCCGGCTCCCCCTGCTGAGGCCCGCGGGGAAGGCCTGCCGGGCCCCGGAGCTCTCCCTACCCCGCCGCGCAAAGCCGGGCCCCGTTTCCCTTCCTTCAACGCATCAGAGGACGCTGACCGACGAAGAGATTGGTTTAGAAATACAGTTCAGGATTTCGTATAAATGGAGCTTGTTATGTCTGGCTTAATTAGCAATAGCGTAGCATTGCGAAGGACCGTGTGATGTGGGTTTGGTTTATTTTTTACAGAGGAACTGTATGCAAAGCTGCCTGCTTAGGAGATAAGACTGTAATCGGGGTAACTTACTTCACCCTTTTTTCTTAACATTGCAAAAGTCCTCAATGCCATAGTAATGTTTCTTTAACCTTCTAATAGGATCATCTAGCGGCAATACGGTATTGGCTTTCGATCTACACTGAATGAATTTTTTCATAGTGCGGTGGGAGCTCAGACCTTTAGTTGGAGAGGAGATGATTTAGTGTGTGAGTAATGAAAATTGAAGTGTGGGTTATCTATTGTCTTCTAGTGGAGTTAAAACAAAGCTGCAGAGTTCAGTTTAGAGAAGACTGAGGAGTTTGTTGCTCCAGTGTTCTGTTCTGTAACTAAACCTGGAAGGGCTCTTATTTCCATGATGCTAATTCTTGGGGTCATGACCTACAGCCTGTGGATGCTGGTATGAGGGTCACAGTGTGAGGTCAAAAAAGCCTATGCAAAGCTTCGCTTTTTGCAGTGGTTGAAGAACTGGCTGTTTCTGGACAAGGAGGTTCAAATGTGTAGGCTACAGCATGCCTCCTGATAAAGGGAAAATATGTAAGTGGTATAAGGCAAGTAGTGTTATAACAAGGCACAACAAGTTCATACGTTTCTTATCCCTGTTTAAATCAAGTTGTATAGCCATAACAGTTCAATTGAAAGAGAAAATACAACTTGAAACTTCCCAAAGATTGCTAAGATTTTGTAAATCTCAACTATGTGATTTATTTAAAATTGTATTAAAATAATCTGCTATTTTTTACCTTGCACCTCAGTAGCCTTACTGAAGTTAAAACGTAGTTTCCCTCCTCACTGTCCAACAGAATTAAGCATGGAAAAGTAAAATGTTATTTTATTAAGTAAATGGCTAACATGAAATTAGGTAGGATGGTTATTTCATCGCAAATGCATCTGATTTTCTGGAGAGCATGTTTTTGAAGATTTAATAACTTTCTGAGTCTGTGATTAATAAACATGAGTTGTCTACAAAAAGCAGGATTTACATTTACTGTTTTTTTTTTTTTTTTTAGGTCAAAATTCTAGGCTATTTGCTTTCTTCATTGGCAATTTGATTCAGAATTTCGTTTCCAATTTAACAAATTATTAATAAGGATGAGATTTCATTATCTCCAGTGAAATGGATGATGTAATTGCTATAGTCTGTAATTGTTACTGCATAACTTCCTCTGATTTCTGTGAAAATTGTATTCAATCTTATTCTTTTTATTAGAGTTCATTTGATTCTTAAGAAGGATATATTGCCTTTTTTTTTTTTTAATTTTTATGATGTGACTTTCTGGTTCAGATTTTAGAACTATGTGTACAGATGGTGAAGCTTGCGAATGCTGACACTTTAGTTTTCTTTCAGTTTTCATCAATAAAAGGAGAGGGCTCTGAAGTTATACCATTATTCTTTGCCAGCAAGGATAAATTGCTCCAAATTCATGCGTATATGCATGCATGAATATGAAAAATTAATGAGAAATGGGTGCCTGCACTCATTTGCAAAATATTTGAGGGAATGTGGTTCAGTGGTATGGGTTTTTGGTGTAATTTCCAGAGTTCAAGAAGTGTGTGCTAAACTTTGTTTGGTTGTGTCATTCTTACTTTAGGCCTGTACAAATTAGGCGTGACTCGCGTAGGTGTAGAACAAAGGACCCACAAGGAGGTAAGCAGTCAGATTTCTGGCCAGCTACTAGTGTAACAAAGCAGCGGCAGCAGCTGAGTGAGGTCAACTTTTGTGGCCGTTCATACCTCTGAGCACACCTAGACATTTGGAAAATGGAAAATTTGAGAAAATACTAAAAATTGAGGTGCAGTGATGGCCAGACATTTTCCTGTTCCTCTCCCCTCCAGAGAAAGAAGAAGTATCCCTAAATATGAGGTGGAAAAGGAGAATATCTTCTATGAATAAAGGAGGAACGGAAGCAGAAATGAGGAAGCTGCACCAAAACAAACTAGGGAGAATAAAATTGTGTGCGTTTAAATTTCATATTTGCTGTTCTTTGTTTTGCAGTATCAGTTACTACATTTTTTAAATGCAAATAAAATAATCTTTGTTGTAGCTGAAAGGAAAGGTGAGGAATGATTCATGCTATGTGCCATATTATTATGGTATAGTAATTATCATGCTACATTAATTAAGATACTATAACAGCTGTTTTCAAGAATCTTGTGAGTTGTGACTTGTCATCCTTCCAGAGACATCCAGAAGGATCTTTTGGAGGCCAGAAGAAGTGGAAAAACGTTTTCAAAATTGATGTATTTCCAGTATAACATAATGAAACTTGACTCTGGACTCTCAAACAGCAGCTCCTTCAGCTTGTGAGTTGTTTCACAAGTATGCTTTGTGGGCATCTGCTTATCACTCCAGTCTTTCATCACTGCATGTTCTTGAAGTGCCACTGGCTTGGCCTGAAGTGTCTAGTTAGTTTGACCCAAGGTATTATATGTGAGCTCTTGTTGTATGGGCTTTGGCTGCTAGCGTACAGAATCTTACCATCCATAAAAATAAGGCAAGGGGATTTAAAAGAAGAATAGTAAAAAAAAATTGAAGAGCACGTGCACAAGTAGAACCATGCTCCTTAAAACCGAAAAATATCTGTGTGTGTATTTCTATCTTTCAGAAAGTGCATATGTACTTCTTTGTAACCAGATTGACAAAATTGAGGACTTTCTTGCATCCTCCTAAAAAGAAGCCTTCTTATGTTGTTTGTCAGGTCAGTAGATGTGCTGCCAAAAGTGTATTTTGTGTGTCTCCACACTGAAAAAATTAAGCTTTTTAGGGGAAGTAGGTACATGTGAAAATTAAAGACATGAAATTCACTATACAGGAAAATATTTAATTGTCCTATGTGATGTGTTACTTGATTTTACACTGACTCTTACAGCTAAGTGTAACATTGATTAACAGACAAAGAAATTGCATGTTGTTCTTACGACCAAAAATGTACAGTGATCTAAATATCCAAACCACTAATCTTGCCACAAATTTTATTTTTATTTATTTAGTTGTGTTTTGGTTTTTTTTTTTTTTTTCAAATTAAGGAACTCAGTAGAAATGTCTTTTTCTCTTCAACACCACTGCTTTTTTTCTTTTAATTTGAAATATTTGACTCTTCATCTAAGCAGTTTAAGCAAAACAAAAAAGCCATAGTCACACTCAAACTGACCTATTCTAAATCTTAGAATTGGGAAGGAACTTGAAAACTAATATAATTTTCATACAAATTTGGATTCATTTTTTATGAGACTAGTATTCTGCTAAGGACATAAAAGTCTGGGTTTTGTCAAAAATTCTGTGTTAATACAGTTTTTGGCATTTCTGTGTTCTGAGATTAATTGAATCAATGCTGCCAAAATGTTTAGCTAAAAGAACCTTGTTTTCAATTTATGCTAAAAATAGTGCTAGAGTTGGCAGAATCCTAGAAGTCATAGAAACTGTATTTGTGTTTGAAGCTCACTTGCCATCTGTTCTTTGCATTTATTTTAGTAAAATATATATTTTTAATCACTTTTCACAAAAGATTTTGGCTCGGTGTTGAAAGTGAGACACCAAAAGTACTAGCCAAATTGAGTCATAATATGGGAATTTGCAGAACAAGTTCCCCACAAAGCACTCCATGCACCTTATATCTGATCTGCAGCACGTGACTTTGGCACTGTTTATGCAGAAAAGTATGATATGACATTTGCTAACTACCACTTTTCAGTCTGCTAAAAACTGATGAGGGTCCACTTTCATTTTTATTTCACTGTATGATGACAGACTATAAACCTGCGTCTCTAGAGCATTGGTGTTCTTCTCTATGTGAATTTTGGGAGCACCTGTAGGAAACCTTTAAATGCCTCCGATGCCTCTTAGGCTCTCGGCAGAGCAGCGAGTGTCTGGAGCCTGAGACATCTGCTTCCTGGAATAGTCAAGCTGATAGAGTGGCACTATATGCAAAAGCCTTGTGTTTTCTGTTTGCCTCCCCCCCCCCCCCCCCCCCCCCCCCTTCCCCGTTTTGTGTGGAGATGACCTTTCATTTTTTATCTCTGCACGCTATTTTTTCAGGGAATGGCAGCAGGTAGGAGTCTTTTTGGACCTGAGAAAGGGAGGCAGTAGCTTGTGGCCATTGGAGCAGTATGTGGATGTGAGTTTTATATGACATTTGAGCTTTCAGTCAGGAGCATAAATACTTTGTAAGTATTTAACCATAAATGGGAAGGATACGGCTTAGTTGTTCTGCAGTCTTTTGAGGATCATCATGACGCGTTTCTGGAGAGACAATCAGATGCATTAGAAGTGTGCCAAATATCACTTTATCCTGGATGTCTGGAGGGTTTCCTTGTAGGCAAGGCACTGTGTTGTCCCTTTCAGCTACACGCAGCTGTTATCTGTGAAGTGTCCGTGCCAAGTGCAATTTCAAGCAGCACAAGATACAGCCACCAGTTCAGCGTAAAATGGCCTTGTCCTGAGGTGCATCATCAGAACGAGAGGCGACTCAACAAGTGAAAGTTGTTGCTTTTCTTGCTTGATGTGTATTTGCTTACAAACCTAATGGTCTTTCAATATTGTTTTAACAAATAGCTGCTAAAAAATTCCTACCTGACCTTTTCAAAACAAGCCATTAAAAACAATCATGTTAATATGAGGCTCTAGAAGATTCTTCATATACTGAGCATACAATGAGAGAGCAGCTGTCAGCAAAATCCAGTCTTGCAAGGTGACTGGTGGATTGGGTTGGTAGCATCTTCTTAAAAAATCAGCTGCAGCTATTAAGGCACTAAAGTGTATCTGTGCTAGCTTGAACACAACTTTGTCTAGTTAATTTTGTAGTGAGAACCTTGCACTGAGATGCTTGATGGCTTCAGCCAGTCCTTCATTTGGCGGTTCTTTCCGCAGCAGAGACTGGACAGGAGGAAGTGATTTCAACCTGCCGTGACTTGGGACCTTCTGAAATGGCAAGCAGCAGGGTGTTTTGACCCGTGTGTCTCTTTATTTTCGTGAGTTGTTTTATTTCTCTTATAGTTGAGCGATTTTAATGCATCTCTCTGTCTTGACTTTTTTAGAAATAAATTGGAAGTGGTTAGTGATTCTGAGGATGTGAGCTAGCAAGTCTCTTTCAGAGGCGCTGGCTGAAACATCTTGCTTGCTCTTTTTTAGATTTAGTGGTAGAAGCAGTATCTGTAATGCCTGGGAGTTCATTACTATAATCACACTATTGCAGAAGAAAATGATTTTTTTTGGAAAAAAGTCTGCATTTTAATTTATTTTTTTATTTTTGAACTGGATTCTTTTAAAGTAATATGGTCCTGTTCATTAAATTCAGCTTGTACCAACTAAATCTGTTGGAAATCTTGAGAACAGGAGACAGGGACTGAAGTACAGCGCTTGTGACAATGAGGAGAGTTTGTTTTATGCTCCATTCTTAATGTGGCACACTTACCCTTTGGTATGCATTATTTCCTAAATCAATAAATAAGATGCAATGGAAAAGGTAGCATTTAATAAGGAGAGGCATTGGGTTGGGTTTTTTTTTTTGTTTGCCTTTTTTTTTTTTACTGATATCACAAAATATTGATTCTGCTATCAAACCTGTAAGAGGTTAGTTTAACTTGCAGAAACTAGAGAATATGGTCAGTTCATATACATATTTTTGTTATTGTTGTAGCTGTTAACTATCTATTGTTAATTAAACTTTTTTTTCAACTTCCAGATAAATCATATGGTGTTCTGGGGAAACAAGAAACTATATTAATGAGCATCAACTCCTTAATTATCCTTGTGACTACATAACAGGGACACATTGATGTCATTTCTTTGTGCAATAACTTTTGCAAAGAAGTATTTTTAAACTGATCATTAATTTTATGACCACAGAAATGAGATGCAAAATTTATGCTGTTGTCATTGGCACAGGTTCAAGGCACTACTGACATTATGTGTGATTGTAATGGAATGGCTGCCAGCTAATGAGTCTATAGACATTTCGTTTGAGCATGCTTTGCTTTTAGATGTCTGATTAGGCAGTAATGCTTTCAATTATGCCTGCAAATTGTATTGGATACATTTACCTGATGCCCATTGTTGCTTTGTAGTTCGGTTTTCTATTACATAAATCCAAGTTGAATGCTTTTCTTTAATTTATTGATGCTTTTTGGGTGTATTTTTAGGTACTTGGCACCTGAAGAGAAAATAGTGGCTTGTGCTGCTCAACACTGACTCCTCTGACTGTTCAAGGAGTAACACGTGTAGCTTCAAATGCAAGGCTATCTAGTCATCCTCAGTAGGTGGAGTGTAAACTGCAGTGCAGCACCTTGATGGAGGAGCATGTAAAGTGGAGAGAGGGCAGAGATTATTCTGAGTGGGAATGCAGGAGACTCCACAGAATGATCAGGAAGCCTCTCTGTGAACTGTCAGGAGCAATATCCTTATAAATTAATAGCAGATGCTCTTAAAATGTCTTTTAACCCTGTCAGAATTAGGAGGCAAAACCCTAAGATAGATACTACCACGTAGCCATTTTTCTATGTAAGAACATTAAAATGTTGTGTAATGTTGCCTGTTAAAGCTCCAGAGCGTAGAGAGTCAGATCTCCTATCAAAATGCCTGCAGTTCTTCTGTACAAATCAGAAAATGTAAGGATAGCATTTCAGTGTATAATATAAATTTACAAATTCATTTATTTATCTAAAATAAAAATTGGAAGATTTTTAGTTTAATCTAGCCAGCAGTGCTACAGTTTGGCTGTACCTCTAGTGTCTGTGAGCTATTTTCCACATTTTTCACATAAAACAGTGTGGGTACCTAAATGTAGTGTTGTATAACATAGGATTTATATATTTGTTCCGATTGTCTTTCTCGATGAAGAAGTGTTTTTGTGGTGGTGTTTTTTTTTTTTTTTTTTTTTTTAATGGAAGTCCTCATGCCTTTATTTAAGATTTAACAGCTAGAGAATGCTTTGAAGACCGTAAACTGTCTAAAAGCACTGAATGTGTAATTTCCTTCTTCATAATAGCACAGCACTTTTTGTTGTTGGTTTTGTTTTAAGAGCATTTTGAACTTGGATATTGTAGACTTAGAACAGATAATTGTTTCATTATAAGTCTACATTCATTGTGCCCATGTTTTTTGTTGTTTCAAATACAGTATATACCTGGGGTATGTACCTGGTGTGCCATGAATATGTACGTATGCATTTAAAAATCCCCTTGTTTCTAGATCATCTGGCTTTTATCTGAATTCAGAGCCCAAGGGTTTACTGAATTTGAAATCCTAGACATAATTAGAGAATGGTAGTATTGTGACTTAATGGAAAAGAAAGGTAACAGTGCGGCTATCCAAACTTACATAAGAAATCACAACTTCTCTGGAAGAGATTATGTATTGCTGAGTGGACCAAAATACTATGGAGGTGTTCTTTCTACATATGAACTCGCCTGTTTGTCATCCACAAGTGCTACTCATTTAGATATACTCAGGTTTACTATTCAGCTGATGAATTTTGAGTGCTGGGGTGTGGTGTTTGTGGAAATGTTTTCCTCTAGAAATACAGCCTAATATTTTAAACTTATGCTGGCACCTTCATGAAGGTTACATGATAGTATGTTTATGCATAGCTAATAAGAGGACATTTTTGACTGACAACCAGGGTTTATATAGACACACATATATTCTGTTCATTCTAGTGCTGGTAAAAGTTTAAGGACAGGAAAAGAGTGGAACAACTTTTCATACTGTATAGGTTATGAATATCGTGTCTGCTCTTTTTATATGGAGTCTATCATCTAATAAAGAGAGAGAGAGATATGTATAGACAGAGACAGACAGGCAAGTGGTCTCTGGTGTGTAACTGTGAAAGGTGATCATGCTGGTTGTAAATATGGCATAATATTTGCTGTTCATGTGCTATCTACTCTCTGGTTTCCTGTTTGGAGGAAGAGGTGAGTCCTGGAGAGGGATAATTTACTTTTGATTGGTTTGACAGGTGTGATGAAATACAAAGATTTTGATCAGATTAACACGATGGCTGGTGTGCTACTGGAAGATGGCTGTGTCAAAAACAGATTGGGGTTGGGTTCAGATTCAAAGCAGTTGTTATATAGCATGGGAGCTTGAAAGGAAACTTTCCCAAGAAAAGCATTCTAAATGAACAGAGGGAAAAACAATTTGGTATTCAACAATCTTGGGATGTAAAAGAACTCCAGCAAAGCAAAAAATCATGTTTTGTTGTCTTACCTGCATAGAAGGCTTGCAGTTCATTGCTAACTACTGTGGTGCTTTTGGGCATGGACGCTGAATTTTCTGTGATTTTCCATTATTAAATGGGAAGCAGAGGGACAAAACTCAGCCATGGCTAGGCAGTCCTACTGATGTATGTGATTCATATGTCTGTGGAGAAGACTATTTTCACAATGCATAGGGTTTATTTTGGATTCTGAGAAATTAGTTCCCTGATACAGTGCTCTAAAATGGAACTCGTGAATAGAGGAGCATATCTGGAGGTCTCTGGAAAGCTGTCTGCATATGAATATACCAAAAGGCAATGCTTGAGCAGTTTAGCTTTATATACTTTTTAAGAAAATTGACAGTCATTTGATCTATTGAAGCTTTATGATTTTGGTTTGGTGAATTTTATCATATTTAAGTATTGGATTTTCCTCCTTCACCAAGTCTTGATTTTATTTATTTATCTATTTATTTATTTATTTATTAAAGAAATAATGTAGCTTGTTATTTTTCCACTACTTCTTCACCTGGATGGTATTAAAAAAAAAAACCTGAGAAAATATACTGAATCTTGGGAGGGAGAACTTAAATTTTGTTTAAATAAATGAAAGCCTTGACTAATATTGATTTCACTTTACCTTCTCCAGACCTTGACACTTAATGCACTCTGATCAGCGTAGTACATAAGTTAGCTAAAAATGTAGATTTTGTATATATTGTAGTAGGACTCTCGGTTGTGTAAGAAATAAATCAATAGAATGCTGTGTTAAGCTGCAGGTTCAGACTGGCCGCTGTCAGGAGACGACCCCCTATTTAGTTTCGTGGGAGGAACACGCGTACCCACACAACATTTGCGAGGTAGCGCCTCATTAGGGTGAAGAAAAGTCAAAGTGGGCAGAGGGTGGCGAGCTGCTGCCGAGAGTAGCTTGCCCGTTCCTTGGGGGGCAAGTTGCTGCAGCTCCTTCCTGCGCTTGGACAGGCAGAACTTCGGAGCCTGGCGGTGCCCGTTTCTCCTCCTGCCAGCGTTCCCCCTTGCCCCCCTCTTTGCTGTGGGGTGTGTTTTTTCCCCCCCGCCCCGTGCGAGAAGCCGTCGGCTGCCCGGTGCTGGGAGCGGGTTCATTGTATGACAGCGTGTAGGGAAATGGCTTCGGGAGTATGGACAGGGCCAGTTAGGAGGTAGCTCTAGAACAGCAGCGCTCGCAGCTGCACTTGAACGTACAAAGTGTGTGTTATGAGTGGCCATGAGAAATGGGATTTTTTTTTTTTTTTTTTTCCCCCCCCCCATTTCAGATAAGAATTGGTATCCTCCTTACTAATGAAAATACTTGTCTTTGGTTTCTGTCTGTTCTTGTATGACAGACTATTTTAACTAGCAATGTATTTTTTACTTTTACAGAACTGGAAGATGAGGAAGAGTCTGAGGGCTCTGTTTCTTCGCCCCCTGATAGTGTCTCAATAGCATCTGACCGATGTGATAAAGAGGATGAAGCACCTTCTGATGGTATGTGACACTGTTTACCTTGAAATGTACTGGATTTGCCAGTTTGCCACAAACTCACGTAATTGGATCCTTGTGATGTGAGTGTTAGTGTTGGCAATCAGATAAACAGATAAGCATCACAGCTGGACAGTTTTCTTACCTTTACAAGAACCTTTAAAGGAACTGAAGAGCTCTCTCTAGTGGTCCTAGAGCATAGTGAAGCTGTCTCAAATTCACGTCTTTTTTTAAACTCATGTTTTCTCATAACAAAGCATCTTCTATAGATGCATATGTTTTTAAAGATAGATCAGTGGCTAAAACAGTGTGAATATTTGTACTGACAAATTGTTTGTTAATTCAACATTATCAGATTCTTGCTTAATTTTATTGTGCTACTTAATGGCTTACTGTATTATTTATCTAATAAATAATGAAACGGTTTACATGATTGATATTTTTCTGCAAACTCCATGCAGAATTAAGTTCATAAAATATTAAATTAATTATTCCTACAATGTTTCCTTCCATTAAGACAGTCTTTTGTAGAATGTTTTCATTATATAAATTTTAAATTCGAGTTTGCATTTAAAAAAAAACAACCCTAGGCTCTGTAGCTATTTTCCATGTTGTTTTATTTTGTGTTCATTAAATTTAATGCTAAATGTGACTGTTCTGAAGACGTGAACAATTGAATATTTCAACAGTTAACAAGCTTGCTTTAGCATAGTGTCCATATTTTTGAGATTCGTTTATTGTATACATAATATAAATACCTTCTATGGATAATATATGACAATAAATTAAGTATATGTACAAATAAATTAACGATGTATATTAATTTGTGGCACTAGAAGTTAGATAGACTTACTAGTGAATGATGTTTTCTGACATGATATGATGATCAAACTGTGCAGCTCCATCTCGAAATACAATTGCTGAATGAAAATATGCTTCCTGCAACATAGCACTCCACATTTTATGTTATCCAGATTATTCCCTTTGGAAACATAAATTGCTTTTATGAGGTATAAAATTACGTCTATTGCAGAACAGGGATAAGTCAAGTACATGCATAAGTGATAAACCTTCTAACCACTGATTCAGAATAATGCAATTTTTTTTTATATTCAGAACTCTGTAAAGTGTGTAACAATAATAATCACACTTTTTTTTTTTTTTTGTGCTGAGCTTGTTGCATTTTGGCAATGTGACCTTCTATTTAAAATATAAAAACAAGCCTTTTTGCTTTTTGGTTAAAATGTAATTATCAGTCAAATTAAATGTGGCTTTTAGAAAACCCAAGCTAATTTTCCAAGCTACAGATAAATGCAACTTTCCATGTATTTAGTTTTGCTTACAAACATAATATTAACAATATTTCTAATTGTAAGTCAATAATATGGTACTGATTGCCCAAAGGGTATGTGATAAAATTGTATGACTGTTTAATAGGAGACATGATTATAGATTTGTTTTAAACAGTTAATCAAGAAAAAGTGATAATATTCATAAACCTAAATAATGAATGGCTGAAGAATGCTGATTCAAGAGCATATGAAATACTGTATGAGTTTGTACAGATGGGTGATTAATTTTTAGCCTAATCTGGAAGTTATGAGAGTAGGTATAATAGCTTCCCAAGAATATCTTGGCTAATTTGTTCCAGTTTAGGTAGAAATACAGTAGGTGCGATTCTGTTATATTTAAGATGATTTTACCTCACTGGTCTTTCTACACTTCATGATAAATCCTCTTTAATTATCTAGCAGGAGTGCAGCATGGGAAAAGCTGAGAAAGGTGGTAGATTTTGATCTGTAAATACGTACATTTATTGGAGGAGTGTTTCTGTTTTCCTCTTTGAATGTCCAGTGTGTCATTCTAAGACCATTTGATTTTAACATACACAGTCCATCATTCAAATCTAGCCACCTAGACTGTGTATGAAAATGTATGTTGGGAGAATCTTATAAGAGGTGGATTAATCCTCAGAGGTGCCACTTGTTTCGGTTCTTGTAAGCATGAAGGCGTTTGAAGCTTAATACTGTATTTTTGTTTCTAGCAATCTGTTAATGTTCAATATTTAAATCCTGCTCGAGAAGCTGTGTCTGTAAGGTAGATCCTACATGGATACTGGTTTAGCTCAGCAGCGTTCTGTGCAGGTGTGAAACCTCATTTGTGTAGGATCAAGTCTTCCAGCATTAATAGAGGGGCCTAACTGTAGGTAACCAAATTGAGGCATTCTTTATTTTTATTTGAGTCCATCCATATTTTTATGTAAAAACTTTTGTATATATTTTCTGCTAAAAAACAGCCCAAAACAAAACAGGCATCTACCTTTATATACTGGAGTTAGACTGCAAGGTTTGTACGACTTCTGGAAGTGTCACTATTTGACTTTGCAGTGTTAATGACAAAATACAATCTGTGAAGGCACCCGCCTGGTAACAGATAAAGAATTAGTGTATTACGTGTACATTACAGTCATTGTAAAATCCTGGAGTTTTTGTGTGACCTTTGTCTAATGGTGTATTAATTACAAGAGAGATAATCCATTTAACAATAAGTATGGGATAACTAAATTAGCACAGGTCACCTAAAGGCCTTTTGTCAAATCTGATTGTTATGTTGTCCTTTTGACTTTTACCTTATGGTAGGCACTAACAAAGTATCTAAACTTTGATGGATTATAAACTCTAAACATGATATGTATTTTTCATAATGCTAATGTAATTTTCTAGGTACTGAAAAGGTCAAACCCCCACATCTCTGTGTGCATTCTAAGTCTGTCTTTCCTTTTAATATTTCTTTTTCTCTGTTCCTCTGGTTCAAAAGTTCACTCAGTTCCCAAATGACCACCTAATTTTCCAGTTATTCCCTCAAGCCATATGTGTTTTGGTTTCTTTATGGTTTATTAGGTACTGTAGGAAAGTAGCATAAGTTATATCATCTAATGAAATTCAAGCACACTTCAGTGATGCTTTGACTTGATTGCTGGCAGCAATTAAATCACAACGAAGGAGAATGATGCATAGGCTTACATGTCCAGACACCCTACAGAAATTGGAAGAGGGATAAAACACAACAAAACCCCCAAATAAAATAACAAACCCCAAACGAAGACAGACAAAACAAAACAGCACTGCCAGGCACTCCATTCTTAACTTGATTTTTTTTTTTTTTTTTTTTTTTTTTTATTGGCTAACAGCCTGATTGATAGCAAAATCATAACTTGCTGTATGCTAACAGGCAGAGTTCACTTGTAGGTTATTGTGAGCTGATAAAGGGTTAGATGGAGTTTTGATTTTCGCATTGGTCCTTGGTGCACCAGATTAATGGAATTTCAATGAGAGACTGGAGTAGTCACAGCTTTGTCAGAAAAACAGATGGAGATTCTATAGCCATGTCTGCTCATTAATACCAGTTGCCTGAAAGGTGTACTACTACTCTATACAAAAGACTCCACATAATTGATTTTTGAGCAGGGTATTTTTTCACTTATTGATGACTAGGTTTCTTGCAACTTAAATGACAGGTTTTTGTATAGTACATTGTATAACAATGTTATGTCTTGTAAATTCTTACTCCCATCTGTATTTTGAAGAATGTGTGTAGTGGAAAATATATGTCTTGATCAGTTAAAAACCAAATAATACCAAAATACTTAAAAGTTGAAATTGTAAGACTTTCTTTAAAGTTGGTAACAAACTAATTTTTGGTTGAGACATCAATGGGGAAAAAGTTACTGTTTTTCATTTAATTTTCAGGTTTTTTTAGGATGGTATTAAATGTATCTTCAATGCTGTGCTGAAACTTCCCTATTTAATGGTGTAATCTTCTTTTATGATCTCAAGGGATTTTTTTAATAGTAAATATTTTTTGGTTTACGATATTATAACTTGATTCCATAGCAGGAAATGCCATTAGTATTAAGGGAAAAAACTTTCTGGCTTTAAGTACTGTGAGTGAACTCACCACTTCTGAAGAAGTTATGTCTGTTTAGCTCTTCAGGGAGTATGTGGTTGGGTAATTACTGGATCTAAAAAGATCACAGTGGATCTGTGATAAAATAATTAAGATTGTCATCGTTTCCGTGGAATGTCTAGAAATGTTGCCTTTAGCATGTAAGAATAAAGTACGTACTAAAAATGTGTCTGGGGACTTTTATGCTCTTCAAATTATCATATTTGGCTATAGTTTATTAATTAAATACGATTTTTAGTAGAAAATTTTAAACAAGGTAAGAATCTCATACTAAAAGTTCCCCATAGTTGAAGTGGAGGAAGATAGGGCCTAAGCAAGCAAATTAGGACATTTGGACAACTTTGAGGAATTGGAATAAATGAAGGGGTTGTACTTTAACTGTTTGTCATCAGAGTGCAGTCTTGAAAAGGAACAAAATTTGTTGCTCCCTGAAACATGTTTTTCTTGGCATAATTTTTGGATGAAACAACAGGTTTTAGCACTTTGTTTTCATGCAGCTCCTCTGGAAAAGTTCTATACCAGTCTTTGTAGGCTTGAGTCAACTATTTGACATGATCTGTATTATTTCCTTTGCACGAACATCACATTTTGCATTTTGATTGATCGACTGAGAATGAAAAATTGTGTGACTAAATTTTGCATGCTGCTTCTTTTGACATTTTAAGTCTCAAATAAAAATAGTGATTAAACTTACTCCTTTTTTTTTTTTTTTTTTTTTCCCCTGTGTGGTAGGCATAAAGGTTTGAATACTGTCACTGGAGAAGGGTAGAGTTCAGCGTAAGACCTTATCTTTATGTACAATTCATATAAAAGCATTTTCCCAGTTTCTTCAATTACATTCCTACTGAGTTTGAGGCACTATATTAAAGCACAAATTGTGTTCCATCACTGAGCCACTTAAGCAGTGTTAGCAACTGTGCTAGCAAAGGTTGGGGAATGGAAAATGCAGCTAGGATTTTTCTGTCCTTTTGTCTCTTCTTTTGCCCTTCCTGTCCCCCCTGTCATTTATTGGTTTACCACTATTTTAGTATCATAATCAC